GCCAGGCCGGGGGGCACCGGGCGTCGGACCCCCGCCGGCCACCTACCGTCCTCCTTGTCCAGCACCATCATCTCCGGCGCTCCGTGTCCAGCCGCAGCTCGGCTCGGCCGGGAGAAGGGCACCGACTCGGGGCGCGCGTCGGCGGGGCGGCCGATCCTCGGGCAGCGAGCGGGCTCTAATTACCCGCTTGTCCGGCTCTTAACCTAGATTGCACTCAGCTAGAATTACATTCAGGAGTGGAGCACTTCGCAGATACAAAAGCAGTCTCACCTACTTTTGTGCCTCAGAATTGAAGGAACTACGAACTGCAATTTAGAGAGAGAGAGAGGGCGAGGGAGAGAGAAGGGGAAGAGAGGATCAGAGCCGTTTCTTTGATTCTCACCTTCTAAATGGCTCAATTTGCCCAGTATAATCTGTCTTAATGTAATTGCATTTGATAGCTCATAACCCGGGCTCTGGCAACGACACAGCTTTCAGCCTCATAAAGTGTTTTCCCCTCGGATTTAATCTGAATCTCAATCTAAAATTATATTCAAAGAGATGGGGGAATCTCGGCGGCCGTCTCCCGCTGCCTTTCTCTCTCAATGTATGAGGTTTGCACTCCTGCTACTGAATAAATGCACACATTTCCCGAGGCCCCCTCCCTCCCGGGTTAATGGGGAGTGGAGACGCGCGGCTGCCCGGCTCCGCAGCGCCACCTGCAGGCCGCGAGGCTCCAGCTTGGCGCCTGGCTCGGCTCAGGCAGGACCTCGAGTCCTCAACCTGGAGATCTGTCGTGGACCACAGGTCTGTCTGTCACTCCCAGCCTCTCAGCCTTGATTTATGCTCCCCTCCCGCCAGGGCAATCTTTCTCTGACCTCCTACCCTCTCATCCTACTTGCTCTGCCCGGGGGTTCTGATTGTTTCCTGGATTGTTTGGCAAAGTTAACCCTGTACAGGGCACAAACCCTCCCACTGTGAGTCTCACAGGACCACCTTTACTCTAGCAGCCGCGCCCCGCCCCCCGCGCAAGGGCATCCTGATTCCATAAAAACCGGGATCCAACTTCTCTTGGAGCAAGTAGCATGGCAATGAAAGCTTTTCTCATTCCACAACTGTTTATTGAGCATGTATTATGTGCCAAGCACTATTTTAAGGCACTGGGGACCCAGCAGTGAACAAAGCAAAGATTCCTGCTATTAGAGAGTTCACAATTCTTGCTCTGTAACTCAAAAGGCAGGAAGGGAGACAGTGCCCAGCTCCTTTCCTCCTGAACCCTGTTTCTCCCCAGAGCCCTGAGGATGGTGCCCAGGCTGCCTATTCCAGAAAGGCCACTCAATAACCAAGGGCTTTTTTACTTGATAGAGTTCCAGGGTGGGATGGAACTCTAAATGGTCTGTGTGTTTTTTCCAGCCCAAGGAGGGCTCCAGACAAATGTGTCAAAGGCTCTATCCTGGTAGTCACTTCTGAGGACTAGACCCAGGCAAGGAAAAGGAAGCTGAAGTCTCTGGAGGGGCAAAGGGCCACCAGTTGGGATTTCATGCCATCTCTGCCTACTGGCTTAGCAAATCACTTTCTCCCTCTGGGCCTCAATTTCCCTGCTGGTGAATTGGGAGACCTGCTCTTCTATGTCCAAGGTTGCTGTGGGGATCAGATGGCATAATGTATGTGCATGTGCTTTGTAAACTGTGGCATCCCAGACAATGAGGGGGTTTGTTGAGTACAAAGGAGACCTGGAGGCCAGGCTGTTCCCCCTAAGCCCTGGAAGGCCCAATGCAGGGTGCTTGACAGGGGTGAGGAATGGGGGAGCGGGAGCAGTGCTGCAGCCCCTCTTCCTCTATCTTAGGCAGGGAAGTCAGGCTTTGAGAAAACAGGAGAGAGGCTGCTTCTAATGAGATGCCTCATCTGCAGCTCAGAGGGTTTCGCTTTCCCCTTCATCTTGAATACTTAATCCTAATAGTCCTTGAGTATATTTGATGTTAAATATATCATTTTGCTCAACCTGACTGTCCCTCAGGATTTTGAGCTTGATCTCTCCCCTGCCACTGCAACCTGAGCTGTACCCTGAGGGTCTCAGGGAGGCTTTGGCTCTGCTGCCACTGGCTCATTTAGTGTCAACCCCTCACCCCAGCCTGAGCTGGGGGCCAGGCACTGCAGCAAGCAATGGGCCTGACAGGCTGGCAAGGGGCAGCTTCTTGCTGTAGACACCTCTGGGAGACCTGGAGGCATTCACTCTACAGGGCCTGCTGGTTTACTACTACCTCCAGGACCTGGCCCTGACTCACAAGCCAGGACTCGACTAGCTGGGGCCACTTCCCCACTGTCTTGTCCATGTGCTGTCCTTGGAACTCTGTCTCACTCCCAGCTCCCTCAGCCTCCAAGGTACCCAATTAGCAGCCACACAGGCAGCATCCCTTTGGGGAGTTAGAGGCCCTGTACATCAACTCAGGGATTGGAGCAGGCCTGAGGCGCTGAGCAATGGGCTATAGAAGCAGGTTAGATATGTTAGCAGGGGATTGGTGCTGAGTGTGAAGGACTGCTTGTGCCCACAGGTGGTTCTCTCTGCACCCCCAGTTTTGAACACTAAGCTGCCACACTGATCTCTGAAAAAAGGCCTTCTGGTTAGTGTACAGAGCTACCCAGCGAGACTTTGAGGGTTTGGATGACCAGAGCTCCTGGCTAGGATGGGGCCTGCTAGGCTGACAGAGCCAGACATGAGCCTCACTCATCCAGTGGCCTCCCTCTCAGCTCATGGGTCACTGTTGGGCAGGCAGGTAACTCCTGTGCCCATGCTCACTCCCACCAGCCTACCTCCAGAGGCATGCCCACAACACCAGGGTGGAATCCTCAGATCCCCTGGGGCTGGAGAAGGTAGCTTGCACGTGACATTCCACAGGTGATGAGCATGTACTCACTTGGACACTGCCAAGAGTGCTCCAAAATGCCCTTGAAATCCAAAATGCCCTTGGGAACAGTAGAGGGAAGCTACTTGATCAGCCCCAAAGGTTACAGTGAGGAAAAAGGGGTTGCTACTGGCTGTCTTACAAAGTTCTTGGCAGGTCCTAGCAGTCTGTCACTGCACCTGGCAGGAAAGTACTAAGGAAGGGTTCCTGCACTGAGGGTGGGAAGCGGGCAGGGGAAACTTAGTGCCTGCACTGAGGGTGGGAAGCAGGCAGGGGAAACTTAGTTCCTGCACTGAGGGTGGGAAGCGGGCAGGGGAAACTTAGAAGACCAGATATTCCAGAACTCTTCAGTGGAGGCTGTCAGATGTGCCTCCACCTGAGGGTCCTGCTCCCAACACAGTGCAGCTGTCTTCAAGATGGGGTTATAAGCTGTTTTTACAAGTGATACTTGGAGAGGAATTCAAAGTGACAAGGTTCCCTTCCCTGTGGCTACCACAGTTGACAAGACTGAGTGAACCTATAGACTTTGCTGTACCATCAGGATGCCTGCTGGCCAAATTCAGATTCTCTGCTCTGCCCTCTACTCACACAAAAGCAGCCCATGCAGAGAAATTTGCAACCAGCTAGAGTGGAGAAGTACACACTTTTCCTCTTTTGGTTTCTGGAAGCCCTGGACAGGCCTTCTAGGAGCTTCAGTTATAATCCATTAGGCCTTGCAGAGGCTTAGGCCAAATCTGCACCCCAGAAAACAAGTCTCTCTCTCCCGTCCCCTTGATGAAGGCTCAACCCATCCCCGCACAACAGCTCTGAGAAGGCTGTGGATGTAGGCTGGCTTGTCCCTGGTTGCCCAGGACTGAGCATTTTCCCAGGATGCAGGACTTTCAGTGCTCAAACCAATTGGTCCTGGGCAAACCAGGGCAGTTGATCACCATAGAGGGAGGTGATTGAGTAGGACAAGGGACTAGTGGAGCCAGAGAGAAAGGCCAGGCAGCCAGACCTTTCCCTGCAGACCAGCAGCTGCCTCCCAGCCCCAAATTTCTCAGCCTTCTGACTCAGGGCTTCCTTTCCCAGGCACTAGGGAATTGCCCTAGCCCCAGGATGGTTCAGCGGCTAGCAGAGCTATGAGTTGGCCTGAGAGACTGGAAATTAGAATGGAAAGGGTGTGAGTTGGACCCAGGGCTGGATCCAGATTTCATGAGAGCCAAACTTTCTTATGCAGTTGGGGGGAGGGGCAACCTTTAGGAAAAGGAATACAAGATTACCAGTGAAGGACTGGGAGCTTAAACTTCATTAGCTTCAAGGTAAATCTGCCCCTGATATTTTGGATATATGGCCCACCTATCTACTCTAGCAGCAGGGCACGTCCCAACACGCTGGGCGTGGGGACCTGGTGCTGAGCGCCCTCCTCAGCCCTGCCAGGGGTGAAGCAGTGTCATCCATCAGCAGCTGTAAGTTGCAGACCCCTGGGACCCCAGGACCATGCTGGTGTGGCTGCATCTTCAACCCCAGGTGCCTGGGTATCCCCCCGGGGGAGCCATTCCGCAGGCCTGTGCAGAAGCTAGACGTGCAGACACCCGGGGAGGCTGGGGGACTGAGGATCAGCAGGCACCGCGGGGAGCTCCCGTCGGAGAGGAGCTTCTTGCGTCTGCAAGGCTGCAAGAGCCCGTGAGAAAGTTCCCGCCCGGAGCTCGTGGGGCTGGCTGGTTAGGGACGGCCGCTGGGACCTCTCAACCCCGCTGAGGAACCTCGAGGGCTGAGCCTGGCACCCTACTCACCCCCCCACCCCATGTCCAGTCGCCGCGCTTCCGGGAAGCCACCAGCGGCCCGAGCTGCTGGGGCCG